CCAGAATCATGTTGTAGGCCGAGAGTTCTTCTACTACCAGGAACCGGACTACCATGTGTCGTCCTTCCCCTTTTTCACCCAGGCGGATGGGTAAATCAACTCGTCCCACTGGGTGGACGACTCCTCCTCCAAACCCTACTAAAGGGTGGGATGCCGGATGTATGCAATCAGTCTGATATTTTAACTTTGACAGACATTTGCTACTGATAAGATCCGAGGAGCTTCCAGTATCTATAAGGATTCGGCCAACTCTTTGGTTGGCCACTTTACACTCAATAACGATAGGGTCGTCATGCGGCCCCCTTACCCCTCCTAGATCTTCTTCGGTGATGAAAATCTCAGGAAATGAATATTTGGAGGGCCGCTCTTGGTGAACGGAATTTACATCTAACCGCCTGATATTGTCTTTGTTACCCCTAATAGTGGGACCGCCTCCTGCGAAGCCGCCTGCAATGGTGTAGACGACTGCATCATCTGTATCAGAGTTGTCGGCTTGTTGACTCTTTTTGGCCGACTGCTTTTTCGAGGAAGTGTTCCCCGTGGATTTCTTGACATAAGATTCAAGATCGCCTTGCTCAACCAAGCGGTCCAAATACCGCATAAGACTGATGCATTCGTTGGTGTGATGACCAACATCTTCATGATAATCACATAATTTTTCTTGGTTCTTGTTGCTTGCAGAACCCTTCATGGGGACCGGCTTCTCAATTGAGAACCCTTCATGGGGACCGGCTTTCTCCCTTGATCCCGTCCGATTGTTTTGTACTGCAAAGATCAGTCGCCTGTATATAGGCTTCCGCTTCAATCAAGGCCTCTTGAAGAGTCGCCACCCTCTTTCGGACCAAATCAAATTTGAATGTCGATCCGTCTTTGAGGCCTCTGAAAAAGTCAGTATAGGCTACCTCATCCGGTAACCCTTGAATCTGTATTCTTATCAGGTTAAACCGCGTGATGTAAGAACGAAGCCCCTCCTTCTCGCCCTGCTGAATCGTTCCTAAATCAAGGGTCGTCTTCTTCGCAGGCATGTTCATGGCAAAGTTGGAGGTGAATAAGTAAGCAAGCGTCCTGAAGTTATTCACGCAACCAGTCGGCAGGTTGCCGAACCATTGTTGTGCGATTCCTTTGAGAGTCGCTGGGAAACACTTGCACCAAGTGGGATCATCCAACCCTTGAAGGTACATCAAGTTGGTGAATGCCATCAAATGGTCTTCTGGGTTAGTAGTGCCGTCATAGGCGCCTACTAATACATCTTTCACTTTGGTCGGCTGAGCGGCTTCAGCAATTTCCTTGGAGAAGGCCGACGGCTGTTCCCCAAGTCTAAGCAACCGTAGCTGCCAGTCCATAGGTTGGACATTCTTTGCTGCATGCCCACCAAACAGAGGTGGCTGCAAAAAATATTGTTGTTGCGGTACAAATGGTAAGTTTGGTACCGCCTGGTCACTGTGAAAGCCGGACTGACGGGAGGTACCTCCTGACTGACTCTCATAATGCGACTGAGTATGTCTCATCGAGGTATTGCGCAGACTGTCTTGGAAGTTTGAAGTAGAGGCCGACTCTGACAATCGGTCAGTCTTCTTCTGTTCTAGCAATAACCGAGCATCTGTGTATGTTTTCTTCGACCCGTCCGCTTGAATATGACGAACAGGTTTCCTCTTTCCTGGAGTAGGAAAACGGTATTTTTTTGAAATCAAGGGCAGGCGACTCCCACTTCCTAGATTTAGGATGAGGGGTCGCCTCTCGCCCTTGAACTGGCTTCCTCTTCCCTGAAGTGGAGGGTTTCTTAGCCGACTGTTCCTTGGCCAGAGCAGGCTTCTTGTTGAGCAACTCTTGAATCTCTCCCTTGAAGTCCCTCATGAAGGTCATGAGTTCGTTCCTTGTGATGGGAGCAGACCCATCAGTCGGCTGCTGCCGAACAGGCGGTGCGCCTGCTGGCTCACTTCCAGTTTGAAGATGTTCCCGTTCCCTCCTTTCGGTATGACGGGTGCGTCGGGCCCTTAGGGTCCCGTCTGAAGCTGTGTGAGCTTCAACTTCAAATTCAGTCTCAGTATCATGGTCCGACTGAACTTGAGGGTCGTCTAGGGGACGCCTCTCTTCAGGAGTCGGTACAGACATGGATGCCATCTCAGAAGTACTCTCCCCACAGACGGCGCTAAAATGTTTCGGGGTTTTCTGATGTCCTGCGGGAGAGTTACAATTCCGAGACTGGAACCGGACGCCTGTACCTGCAAAACAAACGGATGCTCCGGATGATTGAAGATCTGCCTCCGACGGTCAAGTTAGTACTTGCTCAAGGAGTAATTAATGCGGAAATTAAAGTGATTGGGTCTCTCTAGGTGAGAGTGTTTAATGTGCGTAATCTCCCTTAATGAGGATTAAGGGAGGTATTTATAACCTCGGGAAACGTGCCAATCCTAGGTTTAGGTTAACCTTGGGCTGATTGGGCTTCCCTCGGAAGTTGGGCCTAGGTGGCCGGCTTCTCCATTAGGCATGGAGTATGCCACGTGTCATGACATAATAGGTCCAGGGTGGACGAATAAGCGTGTGCCACGTGGCAAGAGGTCCAATTGGGGGACACTTGGCAGGACCTGATTGGCCCACGTGGCGCATTCCGATTGGTGGGAGCAAAATCCCCTAATCAACAGGCTAGATATATCCAAAAAAACAAACAGCCAATAAATCAAAAATTATAGGATTAGCAAATGCCTATTAGTCTTAGAACATCTGCAGGCTACAGCAAACAAAATATCTCTAAACACATTTACAGCAGACTTGCAGCTTCCTGTAAAGATCATAACATTCCTCTACAACCAAATCTGGTAAACAGCTTCAGAAAAACACATCCCTAATAGCTTGTTCCTGGGTCTAGACTTCTTGCAAACCTTAGAAACCCAAGTCAACTCAGCATCAAACTGACAATTCTTTTATAACCCTAGACTTTAAGAACCTGCACCCAAACATTTTTGCTAAAAGAACATTCAAAGAACAGGTGCTGTACATTTTCAAAACTCTGATTACAGAGAAAAAAAAACAGGATCAAAGTTGATATTCCAGCTGAGTAATATGTCCTTAGTCACAAGCCTGTTCTTGACAGCAAGCCAGGTAACAAATAAACTCTTTGGGGAGGCAGCATTGTTACAAATCACCCTTCTCCACTCAACCTTGGGTGCCTGTAAGCTAATGCATTGATAAATTTTCTTGATCTTCACCTTGCCACATTGCATTACAGAATCCCAATTACCAATAGTATCAATGATATCTCTGTATTTCAAAATTCTTTTGAGCACCCAAGAGCATTTCTTAGGAGCATCCACACCCCACCAAGGTTTGTTTTTGAAATAATAGGTGTGGAACCATTTGACCCACAAACTGTCAGCTTTGTGAGCCAGATCCCAGAGTAGTTTGGTGATAGCAGAAAGATTCCACTCAGGGAGAGAGATAATATTCCACCCACCACTAACCTTAGGAAGACACACCTGGGACCAAGAAACTAAGGACTTCTTTGATGGATTAACTTTCCCAGTCCAAAGGAAAACTCTAAATCTGGACTCAATTTCTTTTAGAATCTTCTTGGGAAGGACAAAAATTTGTGCCCAATAGGTTTGAATACCAAAAAGGACACTTTTCACCAACTGTAACCTACCAGCATAAGACAGAAACCTGGCAGCCCACCCATTTATTCTAGCAGTCACCTTATCAACCAAAGATTTGCACTAAGCAATAGTAAGTTTCTTTGAAGAAAGAGGAACCCCAAGGTATCTAAAAGGGATGACCTCAGGGGCAACACCAACCAAAGATCTAAGAGCAGCCTGCTCATCCTCAGGTAAACCACCAAAGTAGACCTCACTTTTATCCAAATTTGCAGAAAGCCTAGAAGCTTATGAAAACTTGGTGAAAGCTTGGAAAAGAAGAGTGACAGAACCACAGTCTGCCCTAGAGAACATAAGTAAATCATCAGCAAACATGAGATGAGTCAAATTCATTTTCTCACATCTAGGGTGATAATTGAAGTTAGGATTCTGGTTCAACTCAAAAAGACATCTGGATAAATACTCCATCCCAATTGCAAAAAGAAAGGGGGACATAAGATCACCTTGTTTGAGGCCCTTTCTAGTTGGAAAAGGTTTAGAAGGAATCCCATTGATTAAAATGGAAAAGGTAACAGTAGAAAGGCATCCCCTAATCCAGTTGATAAACTGAACAGGAAAACTAAGCTCAGCCATAACAGTTTCAAGAAAGCTCCACTCAACTGAATTAGAAGCTTTTTTAAGATCAACCTTAAGCATACACCTTGGAGTGATGTACTTATGGCTATAACCCTTTATTAATTCAGTTGCAAGCAATATGTTATCACCAATATGCTTGCCAGGGATAAACCCAGCCTGAGCACTGTCAATAATCTCATGAAGCACAGAAGCTAGCCTAGCAGTCAGAATCTTAGAAATCAACTTATATAAGACTGTACAACAAGCAATTGGCCTGTAATCTTTGGCATAAGAAGGATTCTGCACCTTAGGGACTAAGGTAATAGTAGTACAATTCCATTGCCTTACCATATTGCCAGTGTTGAAGAAATGCATCACACCAGCATAAACTTCAGATTTCACAATGTTCCAGGCTCTCTTGAAGAACAAGGAATTGAAACCATCAATTCCATGAGCCTTAGTATTATCAATACCCTTAAGAGCCAAGTCAATCTCTTCAATGGTTACAGGGGCAATAAGGGAATCTTGAGCAGCTCTAGATAACTGCTTTCCTTTCCTCATTGTATTCAGATCAACCCTAGGAAGAACAGAAGCTCTAGAACCAAGAAGTGTCTTATAGAAACAAGTAATCTTCTTCTCAATATCAGCAGGAGTTTTCAGCAGAACATCATGTTCAGTATAAATAGTTTCAATTCCGTTCCTGCTTTATCTATGCTTCATAACTGAGAAAAAATAGTGGTTATTCCCATCACCAAGCTGCATCCAGTCAATTCTAGATTTTTGCCTATAAATACTTTCCTAAATGCCAAGCCAATGCTTTACAGTTGCAATAGCTTCCATCTCCAAAATACACAAATCAGTATTAGTGACATCACTAGAGATTTGCTTCTGGATATCATTGAAATGGTTTTGGGCAGAATCAAGTTTAGCATTAATGTCCCCAAATTTCTGAGTGTTCAGAGATTTGAGAGTAGTCTTAACATGCTTGAGCTTATACCAAATGTCATTCATAGGATTTTCAGAGCCAGAGTTTTGCCAAGCAGTTTCCATAATAGTAAAAAAACTGCCATGTTCAGTCAGACAGTTGAGAAACCTGAAAGGTCTCCCTTTCCCAGGTACCACATGAAAAATCTCATAGACAATAGGGTTATGATCAGAAAGAAAGGGGGGTAAGTACATAGCTTCAACATGACCATAACAGTTAATCCATTCTTGATTAACAAAACCTCTATCAATCTTGGAAAAGGTTCTAGGACCCACATGAGCTTTGTTACACCAAGAGAAAAAAGAACCCTTGATCTTGATCTCAACAAGATCCAGGTCATCAATACATTGCTGAAAGTCTCTAGTCTCATACTCAGAACAACAGCCCCATTTAACCTATCATCAGTAGACAAAATAGAGTTAAAGTCTCCAGTACATAACCAAGGCAAAGGAGTACTAGGCAACCCTTTAAGACCAGCCCATAATTGCTTCCTGTCTTGAATAGTATGTAAACCATATACAAAAGTAATCATAATTTGAGTCTGCAGATCCTTAGTGCTGAGTAAGTAGTGGATAAATTGCTCAGTAGAAAGAAGAACATCCAAAGTGAGACACTCAGCCTTCCACCCCACCCAAATTCTACCTTTAGGAGAGTGAGAATAGTTACAGTGCCAGGACCAAGAGATACCTAACTTCCTCTGAACACTCACATTATTTTTGTGCTTAACTTTAGTTTCCAATAGACACATAATATCAATCTTATGATCAGAGAGTAGCTTCTTGACAGAAACTACCTTCCCAGGGTCATTAAGACCCCTTATGTTCCAAGAGAGGACTAACATTTCCCTAAAGAGGGATTACCATCACCCCCGTTAGGATCATCAGTTTCATCCACAATATCAACTACATCATCACTATCATCAATCAAAGGGAGATAAGTGTTTGAGCTTGAGACAGGGAAAGAAATCTGCCTGTTAGCTTTCTTCTTTGATTTTTTTCCAGGAACTTGCCATTCTTCTGGTTTCTGGATTTGAGATTTTGGGGTAACCTTAACAGATTCAGAAGCTTTAGTCTCAGCAGTGATAGTCTTAGGAACCCACACTTTCTTAACTTGAGTTTGAGCAACCTTTTGATCACCAGTTTGTTTCTTCTTTTGCATAGGCTTTTGAGGAGCAGCACAATCATGCCCTACCTTATTACACTTCTTTCAAAATGGTGGTGTCCATTCAAAAAGAACCTTAATCTCAATAAGTTCACAAGCAGGGCTTTCAACCCAAACAGAGTTAGGCAGGGGTTTAGTAACATCAACTTCAACAAGGAGTCTAGCAAAAGAAACCCTTAGTTGCCTAGATGTACATTCGTCAGCACATACTGGAACACCAAGTAGACTACCAATTTTACTTAAAGTTTCATCTCCCCAGCAATTCAATGGCAAATTAGGAAGTTTAATCCACAAGGGAATAGTTCTCAAAAACTCAGCATGAAGATCAAACTTGTCAGACCAAGCTTTAACAATGGCTGGTTTGCCAAAGAACATATGAGGACCAGCACATAAAATAGCATTCTTATCATCATCAGATTTCAATTTAATTATAAAATATCCCTCGTCATGCCAAAATATGTCAGGTTTAGCTATATTACTCCAATTATCAGCAACAAACTTATACACTGCAGAAATAGTAGGGGAATAACCAACAACATAAAAGATAAGAGCATTACCCCATTTCCTATTACCCTCACAAATATCAGCATAGCTAAGCTTAGCAATCGATTTACCATCCCTGATTTCAGGGGTAATGAAAGACAGAGAGGTCCCTTTAGCATTGAGCTTCCCTTTGAATAAATCCTTCCATTCTTCAGCAGGAGCTTCAGGAACTTGTTTCGAGCCATCCGGAACCCCAGAAGCTTCAGGATTAGCAGTAGAATGAACTATCGGGGTTTGATTTTTCTTAGAAATCAATGGAACAGTAACCGCAGAAACCCTAGTTATTGTTCCATTGATTCTAGCCTGAGATTGAGCCATCGAACTTCTATAAGAGCTTTCAAGCATTCTTACCTCACCTCTGGATATCATTCCACCAGATGGATGCACTAGAGGAGAAGTGACCAGTTCATCTTCTTCAGCAATCGGTTCAGTTGAAGAGATTCCAGATTTTCTCAGATTATCTAGAGTCTTATCAAGAGGAGCATGATTAGTGTTTTGCGGGAGTGGAGTTGAAGATTTCTTCTTTTGGGCCATGATGAAAGAGAAGATAGATGAAGATCCCGACCTAGCAAGCTCAGATCACCATGGAAATCGCCTAGAGAGAAAGCCAACTATTCTCTTGATTTGATTGTATCTCTCTGACCTTTTCTCTCCCTTTCTCATCTATCTCTCTAAATTTCTCGATTCCAAAAGCTTTGTTTTTTTAAAAAAAATATTAGTAATATGCATTAGGTTTTTTTTTTCACTTTCATCCTTTGTAAAAATAAAAAATAAAAAGAATAAAGACGAAAAGCTTAAAACAAGTTACAGAAGAGGCTCCTCGCTTGGCCGCATCATTACTCCCATTATCGGCATTGGCCGCATTATTGGCATTGGCCGCATCATCGGCATTGGATGCATTTTCATCAAGGGGGGCCTCATCCTCGGCCGCCTCTTCATCGTCACCCTCGGCTTTGTTATCACTATAGCCGGGAGTTTTGACAAAGGGACAGAAGGGCATACTGACAGCCTCGCACTCTTCCTTCATGGTGAGGAAGTCTAGCCTTCTGGTGAACAACTCAAAATAATAATCAAGTTCGTCCGGTTCCACCATCATGGCAAAGGCATCCTCAAGAAGGTTTTTAAGGTGAGTGAGTGTCGTATGTTCGATGCGGACGACATCAGCTGGAGGAATAGGGCTTGGAGCGCTTAGCTGATTTTTCAGCTCTTCTACCTCCTTCCTTGAACACTCGGCCTCCTGGTTGCTCTCGTCTGCAGCCTGAAGAGCTGCATTCAAGGCTTCCCGGATGGTCTCCATCTTGGTCCTCAGCTGATCCGAGGCCTCAACCGCCTCCTGCCTACTGGCCGCCAGAGTAACGACATTATCCCTCTCCATTATGAGAGCCTCGTTTGCCAGCCTCTCCAGCTTAAGGGCATTGCCCATCTTAACGAGGTCCTCAATTTACCGAGTAGTTTTCTCGGACAGAACATTCATCGCCGTTTGATGGCGAGCCCTCTCTATGGCCAGCAGACTGGTGTTCACATCCTGCAGCTTATGGAGATCCGCCCAGGCCGACTCAAGTTTGCGTCTCTGCCTCAGACGCCAGTCTTGGAAGCCAAAAAGCCAAAGGAGAATCTGCGGACGAATAGGAAAAATTAGTAAAGGAAAACAAAATAACGTAAATTTGGATAAGTAAATTAGCCAAAGAACCAAAAGACTACCTCAACGCAGCTGTTGATCATTGGACCGAGATGCCTATCATGGATACCCCAATATTTGTCCCGAGTCTCAGCCGGGACGATCTGTTAAATAGCGTCTCGGAAAGTCTTGTGTTCGACCCCAGTTAAGGAAGAACTAGGGGGACAAACGTCCAAATTCTCATAAGTTTCTGCAAAATAAAAAACAAGTTAGAACTCTACAGAAAAGAAAGAGTTATAAAGGGGACGAAGAGGTATAAGTACCTTCTGAGAGATTTGCAAAGCGCGGACGCCCCTCAGGAGGAGGCGTCAGCTAAGTCTGCTCGGCCGCCTTAGGCGGAGAGGGCAGCTCCCATTTAGTTTGGGAACCATAAGGCTTAGTTCCCAAAAACTCAACATGCGGAGTTGAGTCTTGGCCAGCTGTGTTGTCTAGGGTCGGCACATCCCCTCCGTCCTTGCGAATGGGCTCATTTCGGGCCACCTCAGACGAAGGTGGCTCCGAGGGCTTGGAGTCCCCACCAAGAACCAGCTGGGGTTGCTCTCCTTTAGGTTGCGCCGGCGTAACCCGCGATCTTGCCTTGGCCGCCGGCGTTTCGGGTGCCAAAACCTTACGAGCCTTGGACGACTCATCATCCTTCAAAGCAGGTGCCGGCCGCTACCTCGCAGGTCTAGGGGTAGCTGACTGAAAAGATAGAAAAAGAGTTCAGTTAAAAACCACCGTTTGAATAGCATTAAGGGAAAGAAGTATGAAAAGAAAATTATTCAGAATGAGTACTTGAAGAACCTGGCCGAGTAGAATTGCAGTAAAGAATATACAATTCAAGTCCACTCGGCCATAGGTGAAGTTTCAGCTAATATATTAGCCGTTCGAGTAGGATTATAGCAAGAGACCTACAGTCTAATTTCACTCGTCCAAAAGTGGAAAACATGTAGCGACCGACTTAAGTTAAAAACAAAGTCCATTAAAGTATAGCAAGTCGGAAGCAATAGGAAAAAAGAAGAAGTAAAAATTCAAGGCAAAGAGAGCAGTCGTACCCCCTTTGCCGCCTCATATAGAGCTCGCATGAGCTTGTAGCGCTCCATGTTGAACTCGTTCATGTCCATTTCACCCTTCTGAGTCGGATCAAGATGAGACATGGCTTCCTCTGTTATAAACAAGAGAACAAGAGATAGAAGAATTTTCTAAGTAAAAGCATAGTTAATGATGCATGATGCAAAAGTAAACCTGCAGGGAAGTTTCGGAGCAGGCCAAATAAGGAAATGAACAAGGGATCCCTCAACCAATTAACCAAGGGGATCCACCTGGGAATAACAGGTAACCGGTGCCCTTCTCTAAATACCTGTTTGTCCTTGAAATTGTCAAGCTGATCAACATGGTTTGGGTGAATTGGGGGGCGAGTCGGCCGCTGATCCCCTCGTCCAAGATGAACGGGGGAGGAGTTGAAATTGTTCATTTTTCTATTGAACTCCTTGTCCCCTGTCTTTATGAGGTAGAACCTTTGCTTCCAGTCGCGCCACTTGGAAGGCTTGTTCATGCACACCATGAACTCTAGCCGGGTGCTCAGGACAAACCACCCGTCCGAGAAAGCGTCCAGCTTCACCATGTTGTGCATGGCGCAGAAGACCTGGAAGTTAGGGGTGAAACCTATCCTTAGACAGGTCAACAAGTATCCAAAAATATTAGCTAAGCTGTTCGACACAAGCTGGACCATGTCAATTTAATATTCGTCCAACAGCTCCTAAACGAATGGATGAAGAAGGAAGCGGAGACCAAGCTCAAGGGCTGCCCTATATACATTGAAGCCTTGGCGGATGATCCTAGGGTCTTACGAGGCAACAACAGACCCAGAAGTTTGAGGAGGCCTTATATAAAAGCCTTCCCCGAACATGAGGAATTCCCTCTATTCCTTAAACTGTTCGTTGAGGTACGCAAGGGCTATGTCTCCAATAATACAACCATAGTGGCAGTTAAAGTCATTCTCTTCTTCCTCTGCCTTGGCGGCAACATTTTCAGCTTGCTGTTTGGCCGGCTGAGGTTCAGGGTCCCTCGCTGAACCAAAGTCTTGAGATAAGACCCTGTCCAGTTCGTCCGCCTTAGCGAAACTGCCTCTGACCGAGCCTTGCCTTAGCTCGGCCATTCCTGGTTCCTCGGCCACTAAAAGGGCCTTGCCCTTATCTTTTGCCCCAACCCCAGAACTGTGACTTCAAAATGGAAGGGGTGGGGAGAGTCGATGGGTTCGACAATTACTATGCCGACCCTAGGTCTTGCCGACTTGAGAGCTTGAGAGAAGGAGGGAGCAAGAGTTTGCCTGGCCTGGCTGATTTTTGGTATTATGCCTAAGTAGCCACTGAAGTTTGTGGCTGATTTTGGCCAAATAGAATATGGTGGTGGTGCAAAGAATGCTTGGGCTGATCTTGTTCAGGTTGACCTGCGACCGTCCTAGGAGAAGAGCGGGGCAAAGAAGTCGGTAACTCTTCCGCTCCAAGGATCGAGTTAGAAAATAAAGCGCGGTTTACACTCGAACCCCTCCTAGAAGTGGAGGTGCCTAATTGATTCTAGCACTACCATCAATAGTAGTGGTGGTTTCTGTGTTTGTGTTTAAGGGGTTAGTCCCCACATCCGAGTTGTCCGGATCATAGGAGGCCAAAGGTTGAACAAGAGTGCCGTCAGGACTTCTGGCGGCATGAAGGTCGTGCGTTTTCCTCGTACGCGCCATGTTCGGCTGCAGGGACACAGAAGAATTGGTGGGGCTGAGTTGGTACACACTAGAAATGGACCCAATCTATATAGACGAGGACTTATCCCCGTCCACTCTAGATTCCTCACTCCCAAGCGAACAGACGGCCTCATGAGGAGAAACGCACGAGGCCGAGTGTTGATCTAGGATGTTTTAAAAAATTAAGCAAAAAGTGAAAAGAAAATTAAAGAAGAAAGGAAGAGTATTCGGTTACCTTCGTCCGAGTAGAAGGTTGAAAAGCTTAAAGAGTGCTTGGGAGGTCTTGAATGAAGAAAGGCCGAAAAACTCAAAGTCTTGAACAGAAAACTTGAATGTGCAGCAGAGCTCTCGAAGAATCCGGGAAGAAGTAACTTTCTTTCTCTAGAGGCTCTGACTTCTCTCTAGAAAGCAAGAAAATCCAAAGTAAAAAAAAGAAGGTCATACCCTTGCTATTTATAGGCAAAATTTGGAGGGGTAAAATGGTAAAAATAGTTCGCGCCTAAAGAATGCCAAAGGATTAAAATTCAAAGAATTTAACCTAGAAGTCAAACGGTTAAAATCTTCTGCTTGACGGAATCCGCGTAAATGCTCTACTATTTATGACGGAATGCGAACGGGCGTCATAAACACCCGTAACTCTTTGCATGTACCTCAGAATTTGAACCACTTCCTTGGAAAATGCAATACAGATAAATGTCAGAAAAAGTCTCTTTGGCTGCTGATGACTGACCGATCACTCGACAATATTCCTTAAAAGAGCCTAGACAAGGAAATTAAGTCATTCAGCCCAATTCTGGGTCGCTTGGCCCACTATATCCGAACGATTTGGCCAAGCTCGTAAAGAGCGACAAGGCATTCCGACTAGGTGTTCAGCCCGATAAGGCGGACGGACGCTCCTGTCCGGTTCCTGTTTATAATTTGAAATACTTCAAATGCGCCTAAGGTACTCAAACGAGTGAAGGTTAGAGGAGGCGGCCTAGTAGGGACGAGCGACCCCCTCTGAGGGGCAAGTGTTTCGGTTAAAAAATACCCCAAGCACGTGGACTGATTCCGTGATGACACATGAACCAATAAAAGACTGACACATGTCACCATAGGAAGATGACACGTACTATGAATAAGAGAGCACCTGAAATAAAAAATGTCATAAAGGCCTCTTTACATCAGGAAGCCCAAAAGCAACTAGAATGCCTTAAAATGGCGCCCCCCAGAGGACACATGTCATTCGCTGATTGTGCAGCTAATCAATGACCCTAAATTCTAGGTCATTTACCCTAAAGGGCACAAATTCCTAGGGGTGTCCGTTCGGTTTTCGGTTTGGATTTAGTCCAAATCCGATCCAATCCGAAATATAATTCGATTTCAATTTTCCAATCCGATCCGATCCGAATTTCTCTCTTGATCCAATCCGATCCAACCCGAATTAAAATTCGGTTATTTGGATCCGATCCGAAAATCCGAATTATAATACATTATTTTTTTAGCTCCTAATACAATTATAAAAATAAAGCTTTACTATAAATAAAAGTCTTCAAAATCATGATTAAAATACACAGTTCAACGTTAAGTCATTAATTAATTAATACAAAGTCTCTCTAATTTATTTTATGTAGTATTATGTATTTGAGCTAAACTTCAAAATATACAAAATATACAAGCTTAATTTTACAATTCGGTTTTTGGTTTGGATTGGATCCAATTAGGGTTAATCCGATCCAATCCGAAAATCCGAATTTCCAAAAAATCTCAATCCGATCCGATCCGATTTAAAGTTCGGATCCGATCCAAATTGATAATTCGGTTTGGATTGGATTTCGGTTTTTATCCGAATTATGGACACCCCTACAAATTCCCACCCCTATAAATACCCCAATCATTGCTGATGGGAGGGGTGGATTGTGACATAACAGTTAATAGAGCACAAAAAAACTCAAACTTCTCTCTACTTTCTCTCTCTACATTTATTTCGTTTCTGGTCACTAACTTGATTGTCGGAGGCAAATCTCCGATAACCGGAGATTCATGTTTTGCAGGTGTCCGCGTCCCGTTGCCAGATCAGAGCGTGACCAGTATCCCAAGGCAAAAACCCCTTTTCTCAGTTTTAAGTAAATAGTAAGAGGTTATAAATATTATGTGTGCATATTCCATGCTTTTGGACAAGGCTTGGTGGTTAGTTGACTTTGAAACCACCAACGATGATCACGGGATGATTGCTATAATTTTGAGTTTAAAAATAAAAACAAAATAGCATTATTACGTTTTTCGGGAATTTAGAAACCATTATATTATTAAATTTTATATAATAGCTACAATATACCATTATAATTACAGCTTACTCGTACAAGGCACAGTGTTCAAATCTAGTAAATTAATACACCGTTATAAAAACCTGCAATCATTCATCCCTAGTATGACAAATTATACACCAAACAAGCTAAGAGTAGTCACAATTAAACTCCTCACACTCAACCGGGTGCTCCAATATTACATCACATACCTTCTTACTCCTTTGTAGCTTCTTCCCCGGCAAGCAATTACGACGATCATCGAACACGACTCCTTTCGATGTCAAGTTCCCACACAGTCCTTGCTCCTCACAGAAAAAGTTGTAAGAAAGTGTAAAGTTTGTTAAGTTTGGCAGTACACATATTCCATCAGATACTTCTCCACTCATCATATTATGAGCAAAATTTAGCTGCTCCAAGTGAGCTAATCCTGCTATACTATAGGGTATCCGACCAACTAATTGATTGTAACTCACGTCTAACACCCTCAACTTATACAAGTATCCAACTTCTTCTGGCAAACACCCTGTTAAACTCGTGTTGATCAGTAAAAGTTCTTCGATGGAGTTAGCGAAATTTGCTATGCTTGGAGGTAAACACCCACCAAATTTGTTATTAGCGAAAACAACCACCGAGGCTGTGGACATACCTAAGTTAGATGGGATTACACTAGTGAAGCGGTTGTTATTGACAAAGATTGCATCAAGGGACTTATTATTGAACAGTTCAGAAGGAACTGGTCCTTCAAACTCATTGTATCGAAGATCAAGGTATTTGAGGGAGGGCAGGGAGAGTACTACAGATGGAAATGGCCCAACAAAGCGGTTGTTACTAAGATCAAGCTCATACAAAAGGGTAAGGTTAGACAGAGTTAGAGGAAGGACCCCACAAAAGCGGTTGCTGTTTATATGGAGCAGAGCGAGGTCAGCAAGAAGGCCGATTTCATCTGGAAGGAAGCCAGCTAAGTCCAGGTGATTAAGGTCAATACCCGAGACAACAGTGGTGGTGTTGTCGTCGATTGCAGGTCCACAGTATATTCCTCTGTAGCGGCACACAGAAGGTCCTACCCAGTTGGAAGTGTAGTTTGTTGGGTCAGAGTAGATGACCTTTTTCCATGCTTGGAGAGCAATGTAAGCTTGGTTGAGCTTGGGATTAGCAGCAGAAGATTGCGAGTTCTTGTGATTGTGATGAGGGTGGGAATGATGAGTATTGTGTTTTGTTTCGAGTTTGTGTAACAGCGAAAACAGAGATAAAACAAGAAGAAGAAAAGAAGTTTTTGATCTTTGTGAACCCATTTTGGTGTATGCTGTTGAAAATACTTTATGACCTTGCAGTGCTTTTGTAAGGTTTTTAAAACTTCATTTTCAATCAATCATAGTCTTTTCGGTCTTCTGTATAATCATCCTGTGACAATCCAAAAGACAGCCAATTCATTCAATGATATCATATCAGTGAGTACAGTATCAGTTGTTTTCCATGGTAGTTGAAGATTAACACTCGTAAAGGATATTGTTGTTGGGATATGGTTCGTAACCATAAGTGTGTCGTTTGAACAAAAGTAGTCCGTAGTCTGTACATTCAGAACTACCAAGCTTGAACATCAGATAGGAAGTTAAGTTGTCGACAACGATTTACCTCCTTCCAGTGTTGCTTTTGGTGCTCTTAGTAGTGGAATTGGAGAAAGACTGCATGTCCTCCCAGCACTAATATGAAAAAGCAGGATATAACTTCATATTTAAGGAAAGGGATAATTGAAAGTCTTGCAAATGAGCAAATTTTCCTCTAAAACCACCTGAAGCTTGTTAGTTTCAAAGATAATTTATGATTACTGCAGATAAGTCAAGCTACAGGCTTCAAGTTCATACCAATATTTACCAAATGTTTCTAATATCATCTTAGATTGGGAGGAGCCACTACCTAGAAACTGGATAAAAATTTGATAATGCTGGAAAAATGTAGTTCAACCGAGATGCCTTAAATATAATTATGATCTTTTACATATTAATGATAAATCAGTTGAGTTAAATGATTGATGTTTTTGTTTGAGAACCGCTACCAACTACATGACTTGTAACTTAACGAAACTAATCTTATGGTTAGATAGAAAATACTCTGAGAGTGAGGCTCAAGTGGTTAGAGCTTTCCTCCCGATTCTAGGAGGTCTTGGGATCGATTCTCACCCCCGCATTTGTGGCTCTCTAAACACCAAAAAAATATAGAAAATACTCTAATGAATATCTATAATCATAACTATGGTACAAAAACACTTACATCACCTTTGTTGTAATATAAGAAGTGATCTCTTATAATCAATGGAACAATAACGGTGTGTCAGTGAAGAAAATTCACTGACTTGAAAACGAAATTGCGGCGTAACCGAGGTACACAATTGTATTCGCCATCATGTTTCCTAAGGTTAACACACCACTTCTACTCAAAGACACTTTTTGGTGAAAGGTTCGAGTTGTATAAACATATGCCCAAAAAGAAGAATGTGTTTAGCTTAATGTGTTTGGATGTAATCTTGTAATATGAAAATCTCAACCATGAAAGATGGGATAATCAAGAGTTGAACAATCCAAAGAGACAAAACCTTAATAAGAAATAAAGGATAGTAAAACCCCTTAAACACATTATTAAGGAGGAGTTACATGGAGGTTATATAAAAACAAAGAATGCAAGGAGAAGGTATGAAGAGGCGTAGCCAAGTGAGTCTCGGGCATGACGAGCTCTGCCCGATGGCGCGCCTGACAAGGCGATTAAACGACGAAAATCAACTGTACTCTCACGTCCGTCGGATGACCACTACTCAGCCAGGCGCTCAATCGTATCAAAATTACCTTTTGTTCTCGCGCACGATTGGGCAAAAGGTCAGGTACCTTTCCTCTTTTTACTCCAACAACCTTATGCGCATGTTATTTTCTCATGAAATTTTTTTTACCAAAATTACTTGTCATGTTTTCTCTTTCCTTTTCTTTTTTCATTCCAAATTCAAGATTGGAAAATAATTCTTAAGAAAAAATAATAATAAAAACTAAAGTGTAAACTGTTGGGTTTTGATGAGTACGACTCATCGCGGAAAATAAAACCCGAGTCAAGATCGCACTCACAATTAATATAATCCAAAGACATAATTAACAAGAATTAAGGAAAGACAAAATTATCTTTGACGCGTGCTTCGCTCGTACCCCGAGTTCTTACCGGAAAAAGCTTAAGTCTCACAACGGGCGAAAACCTACTACGGTATCCACCTGCAACACGACCCCGACTAGGTCCATTGCTTGGAGGTTAGCCAAGCCCGACCAAACTACTCAAGTAAATATGAGTTTGAAGGTTTTCTCAATGGAGATGCTTTTTCTAACTCTTACTCAAGTGAGTTTTCTCATACCCCAATCTGGGTATTTATAGGGAAACTCATGAGTGAAATCTTCTCTCCCATCAATGTGGGAGAGTTGGTAAAATCAGTAATATTTTTTTATTTTAAAATCAAAAATAAAATTAAATAGCCAACAACTAATAAATCAACAAGTGTCACACTTAAAGGAGGGGTTAGGTAAGAACCACAAGGGAAAGGGAGGGACCAAGCTTGATCCCCAAACACTCACAATAACCGACCACCTACCCAAACACCCCCAATCACTCACTGCCACATGACACCCACCCTTTGGCACCAAGGCAGCTTGGGTGTGGGACGCTGCCTCGGCTTAGCTAGTTGCTGCTTCCATTAGCGTGGTTGCTTGGGTGCGCTACTACTGCCTCAGCTTAGCAATCTACCGTCTCGTCTTTTATTAATTCGACTCGACTTACGACACTCGTTTTTGACGCTCCAAGCTTGATTTCCGATGTCTAAATATTAATTACTCGAGTGACTCATCGATTCCTTCTAAATTAATTCGTCGTGTCGTATCTTTTGTTGTTTGGGTGTGACCCAAAGGGTTCAGTCAATATTAAGCTATAATATTAATTACTCATTAATATTACTGATCAGAAGCAGCCTCCACCTAGGCATTCCGATCACTTGACCTCACTTAATAATTAGCTTTATAATAATTTTGTACCCTCTAACGGAATAATACACCTGTTCAAAAGGACACCATTACTATCAATCTCCCTTTTGTATAGTCTTTTTCCTATGTCTCTTAATGTTTCTTCATGAACTATAAGGTAAGATTTATTCGTCATCCTTATTACGTCCAGAAGTGTTTCTCGATATCCGATTTCGACTGTCAAAAAACAGATAATTTCTAAAATCCATCCTAGCATGGTCATGACTTTTCATAGTCTCGCTCATCGAGAGGCCTTGTAAACAACAAATACATCTTCCCTATTATTAGTAGGGGGACATTCCCAGTCTTGTAATGTAACTTCTCTGACTAAGAGGACCTAGCCGCCCAAATTTCGCCGTTATAATCTCCTTTTAAGGCAAACTTTTGACTAACATCAAAACGGACTAGTAATCAAACAAGAGAACTCTAAATACTCATGGTCGAGGAAAGAGGTTCCGATAGCCATAATGAGATATATACTTATGACGATTTTTAAATCACTTAAAGTATTCTCATAGGTCGATCTAGTATGGTTTTAAACCTATACCTGTGCAAATGATTTATGGCAATCATGTCGTTTTAGCACAAAAAACAGTGTTATAAATCAAACTACACACTAATCGCAAGTGGTCATTAATTAATCGTCCATCGTTTAAATGACCTCGATTAGGGATAATTTTCGAATATAATATTCAATGCTCACTTAATAGGTGTTTCCTTATCAAGACTGGTCTTGATACCCTATATTGAATATTCTTATAATCCAATGGACTCATTATTTAATCCTAAACCACAATTAAATAGAAAATGAAGTGATAAAATTGCATGAAATTTAAATTACTCTAAAACCTAAATGGTTTTTCTTAGTGTCTTACATTAAAATGTTAAAAATTAATTAAAATACTAAACAGGGAAATCAAAGCCAATCTCCAATGTGCCTGATTCCTATTGCCTCAACGTGCTTGTTGTGCTTTACTTGAGGCAAAGATTTAGTAAGTGGATCAGCTACATTGTCATCCGTTCTAACTTCACAAATTCTGATTTCAATTCTCTTATCATGTGAAATCGCCGCTTGACATGTTTAACCTTTCTGATGTTCTCTTGGCTCTGTGGCCTTAGTAATAGCTCCATTGTTGTCACAATAGAAGGCTATTGGATCATTAATTGACGGTACAACATCAAGTTTACAAACGAACTTACAAATCCAAATAGCCTCCTTAGCCGCTTCAGCATCTGCCAAGTATTCAGCTTTAGTTGTAGAATCTGCAGTTGTGCTCTGCTTGGCACTCTTCTAACTAAACTCTCCTCCATTTAGAAAAAAACACGTATCCAGATTGCGATTTGAAATCGTTTCTGTTTGTCTGGAAGCTTGCGTCGGTAAAACCTTTAACAACTAATTCTTCTGAGCCACCATATACCAGGAATTTATCCTTGTTTCTTTTCAGGTACTTTAGGATATTCTTGGCCGTATCCAATGCGCCTCTCTTGGTTCAGATTGGTATCGACTCGTAGCACTCAAGGCATACAATACATCTGGCCTTGTACATATTATGGCATACATGATCGATCCAATTAGTGAAGCATATGGAATCTGATTCATCCTTTCTCGCTCATCAAGTGTCTTTGGACACTGCTTCTAGCTCAGGGTTATGCCATGTGACTTGGGTAGGTGACCTCTCTTGGCCTCCTCCATGTTGAACCGTGCTAGGACCTTATCAATATAAGTACTTAGGCTCAATCCAATCATCCTTTTCGATCTATCCCTTTAGATCTTGATACCCAATATGTACTGAGCCTCTCCCAAGTCTTTCATTGAGAAACACTTTCCAAGCCAGGCCTTTAAAGACTCTAATATTGGAATGTTGTTTCCAATGAGCAATATGTCATCGACATATAAGACTAGGAAGGCGATGTCACTCCCACTGAACTTCTTGTAAACACAAGATTCATCTAGATTTTTAATAAAACCAAACTTACTGATGGCTTCATCGAATCGCAGATTCCAACTTCTACTAGCTTGCTTTAGCCCGTAGATGGATTTTTAAAGCTTACACGTTTCCCCAGCATTGTTTTGGTCGAAAAAACCTTCAAGCTGTGTCGTAAACATAGTTTCTTTAAATACCCTATTGAGGAAGGCGGTTTTGACGTTCGTTGAAGCCTAAAGGTTTTGATAATGATGAACTAAAACTCAAGCAAACTTCGATTAATGATGGTTTTTCTAAGTGTGTTACTAGAACATGTGAAGTAGACTTTGGAAGTTGAAGAGTAGCCTAATCTAAGAAGACATGAAGAGATTCCATAGAAAGATTAAACAAGATAAAAGAAGAGTTCCCTAACAAGAACTTAGTTCTCTAACAAGAACTATCTAAGTTCCCT